GGCAGGATCGCAGCGAAGCGACTCTCATCAGGCGCTTTAAGGGCGACGGCGTCCGCTACAAGGCTAAGCTCATCGGCCTGGACGAGGTCACAGCGGCCCGCGGAGACAAACTCTGTCAGGATTCCATGATGAAGCTCAAGGTAAGGACAGCCGGCCTCGAAATACCTCTTATATTATCGTCACGTTACCGTCATTCTTCAAATAGCGACCCAGAATCTTTTGTTACTCAACTGGCGAGTGCCCGACTGCGTGTCAACAAAGGCCTTTACTTGAGGGTAGGCCTTTATTTTTGCGTCGTCGCTTTTGTGGAAGTGGTACGAATGCGAAAGGAGCTGTCGGGCGGGTATTTATCGGAGAGAAAGCCTTTATTTTTTTGACTGAGTCTTTACATGCTCAACTGCTGAAAAAGGCGGGCTGATGCAGCACTTTTGTAGCACGGCAGTCATGTTCAAAGGCAATTGTTTGAGAGCGAGGCTTTTTTTTTTTTTTTTTAAACAGGGTGTTTACGTAGCCCTGCAACTACCAAAAGAGTCAGGCTATTACCTTGTTGTCGTAGCGTGGTGCATATAAAAATCGGAGATGTCATACATGCATTTGTTAGAGGCTCGGCCTTTTTTTTTTTTTTCAGGGGTTTTTCTTTACTCGCACCTGCCAAGTCAGGCTGTTAATTTTCTCTTGTGACACGGTGAGAATGAACAAGTGAGATGCAAAACAGATATTTATTCGAGAGTAGGCCTTTATTTTAAATATTTATTTATTTATATTGCCTTTGCCTACTCACCCGCAGTGTCAGACTGCCACATTGAATTTGCGGCATTTATTTATTTTTTAACATGGTCTTTATTTCCTCAACTGCAGCAAGTGTCAGTATGGTATGTTGCTCTTGTGTCATAGTGGACCTGGAAAAAAATGACTTGTAACGTAGTCATTTATTCGAGAGGGAGGTCTTGAATTTTACAACGTCTTTATCTGCTCGACTGCAAAGGGTGCCGGATTCTGTTGTGGATCGGTGGACACGAAAGAACGTACAAAGGAGTTTCAGAAAAGGGAGGCCTCTATTTTTCACAAAGTCTTTCATGAATCACCGAGCGCTGCGTTGCTCTGATGGCAGGGTGGAAATTAAAAAAAAATAAAAAGCAGATGTAACACAAACATTTATTAGAGCGGAGGTCTTTATTTTTTTTTTTACGGGGTCTCCCACATTGCCTTGGAGTGACCGTCTTTATATTCTTTGCAGCAAGTTTTCCATCAAGAGGCGAGGGGAGCTATATGGATGAGAGAGGGCCACGCGGGGTGAAAGTCTCATTTGCAAGGACAGGAACAATTACAGGCAGAGGAAGACAGATGGACTAGTTAGCAAGAAAAAGGGAAGCCGCGCCGGAGAATAATTTGGATGAGAGGTGAGTGAGGAAGACGAAGGGAGGATGAAGATTGATGAGGAACCAGCGGCCGGGTTTAAAGGAGACTTCGATGGGGTTTTCTTTTCACCATTTAAAACAGGCAATTGGATAAAAATCCTCTTTAGATAGAGACACGGTCTCATGTTCTGCATATGAACCAGCTGTCATCCGGTCCCTTATGCTACAGCGGTACCTCTACTTACGAACGTCTCTTCATACGAAATTTTCAAGTTACAAAACGCCTCAAGAGGAAAATATTGCCTGTTGTTACGAAAGAAATTTCAAGATACGAAATTCATTTTGTAAGTAGATGTACCACTGTAGTGGGCCATTGGCGTATGTCAATTCTCTCACCGTGACAACCAGGGGTGGAGCATGAGCTTTTTGACGAGAGAGAAGCTTCACGTGCTGGCTCTCAACCTCTTAGCGGTGAGTGTAGACGTAACAGCAGTTGGAATCTTGCCAGCATGCGTGTGTGTGCATCACTATTGGCTGCATCTCGCCAATGAGTGGGGACCTCCCTCTTGGCATTTGCCCTCTCATCTTCTAGGCTGCTCAGCTGGCTCTCTCATCACTTCCTCAACAAGTGTATGCTTTAACAGTTGGCTGAATCTCACCGGCAAGTGTGTGCGTTTCAGTCGGCGTTTTAGTCCTGTCGTGTTCCACGTCACTTGGCAGATACACTTGTTCTTCGTCAACAAGTGTATCTGCAAATTGGTTTAATGCGCGAGGGTAGCCTGACCCTCTCTTCTTCCTCGACGTTCAGCGGGCAGGCCTTCGTCACCACGCCTTATATGACGAACACTGGGTATTCCACCTGGCGTTCGGTTGTTGTCCTGTTCCACATCACTTGATGGGGTGGCTCTCAACAAGTTTCGGCGTCGCAGGAGGTTGGATCTCGCCAGTGAGTGTGCGCATTCCAGATTAGCATTTGGCCATCTTCTTGGAAAACTGTGGGAAAAAGAGTGTTATTTTCATTTCCTCAAAGTGATTTGATATGAATCGTCTCCCACTTATTGACAGTAAGAGCGTGAAACGTATTTCAACACCGTGTCTGCAAGAGTTGGAAGTTTCATTATTCCTACAGGAGGTATTTGATTTGGGGGGCTGGGGGGGTGGGGAGGGGGGAAGCTTGAGGTGGCGCAACGGCCGAGGAGAGGAGAGACAGCTCATTGATCAAACGCCTTCCCTCCTCCTCATTTAGGACTACAGCAAATCCATCAAGAGCTTTTCTCTGATCTCCTTCACCTTCTCTTTCATGCGAGCTGCTTCTCCCGCCTCCCAAGACACGCCAATGTGGCCCCGGGCGAACGCCTCGCCCTCATCGGTGCCGTCGTGCCCGCTTATTAATCATCGCCGTGTCATTTTTGGGCCATTGCCACGGGTTATGTTTTCACGAGGCGTTGCAAATGAACTTCGGCCTGCGCCCGTCCTGTCTTATGTCGTCTCTGGCTATTAATTTTGCGATGACTCGGTTTGTCAACTTGTACTTCACAAAACTTCTGAGCGCCAAGCGTGTGGCGGTGATGGTATACACGCTGGTACAAAAAAAAATGCTGGGTGCTTTTCCTAACCTGGCCACTAGGTGGCTGTGGATTTTGCGCAGATAGTTACTTATGCATAAGGCAGGGTTACATTTTTTTGAACCAACAGATTAGGTTGAAAGTTGGATTTTGGCGAGCGTCTTTTTTTTGGACCGAAATAGAAGTCAATTCTATTTCGTAACATTATTGGATAATGTGAGTGGCGGCTGGATGGCTCAGTGTGTATCGGCGCTAGCTAAGAACACAAGAGGTGGGAGTTAAAATCTTTTCCAGTTATTTGAGAACGTTTGGTTAATGCAATTTCCTTTTGGCATAAAGTGATTAAAAACACGTTTGCTTGCGCTTTGTTTTCCTAATGGTTAATTCAATCGGTCCGTCGGCTCACACCTTCATTGATGCGGAAGTACACGTCGAGCATGTCGCGCTGCTCTTTTCCTCCATTTGCTTGTGTTTGTCAATGTTCTGTTCTGCCCTCAGGGTATCGCCGCAGCGGCGCGATCCAAAGGGGAACACAAGCAGAAAGTGTTCCTGACTGTTTCCTTCGGAGGGATCAAGATCTTTGATGAGAAGTCGGGGGTAAGCAAGCGGCTCCTTCCAACCTTGTGTGTGTGTGTGTGTGTGTGTGTGTGTGTGTGTGTGTGTGTGTGTGTGTGTGTGTGTGTGTGTGTGTGCGTGCGTGCGTGTGTGTGTGTGTGTGTGTGTGTTAATGGGTAGGCCAACAAGCGGCATTGTTGTGTGTTTCCGTCGTTAATGAGGCATCTCTGGGCGATCGAGGCCCCCCCCCCTCCCCAGGGGAAATCAGGAGGCCCTAATTGAAACCCTGAGAACAAGGCCAACAGTAGATGAGCGAACATGGCTGTCTCATTGTCTGCCGCTACGCGAACGACGCAACTTTTTTGTTTGCCGATTAGCTTTTTCTGTGTTTTTTTTCTCTGGTCAAGATGCCTCTTAGCAGCCAGTCGGGGGTTGTGCCTGTCGCTATTGAGGTTAGCGACATTTTAAAATCAATACAAAAACGCCCTCATTAGCATGTTATTGTTAGCATCTGCTAACTCCAGTAACCGCTGTCCCTGAAAGGGTTAATATTTTATTTACTTCGATGTGTCCCTAATATTATTTCGAAATTAAGCATTTGTTCACAGTGGCTTTTCCTTCCGGGCGGTGATCCCAAAAACTAGGAAATAGCAAGGGCTCCTCCTACCTGTACCCGAATTGTTTGATCAATTTTCCATTGCTCTTTTGGAAAATGGATCTCTTTTTTTTTTCTCTCAATTGACGTTGAGGTTCTACCGCAAACTTTTTTGTGCCGTGGGCCAGTTCGGCACGAAGACTTCTTTTACAGACGAGCAAAGAAACAATTAAAAAAAAAAAAAGAACTGATCAAACACACGTCTCATGCTGAATGTAATTTGGGAGCCCTGCGTTTCGTCCTCTTCATTCAGCTGGCCCCATCTTGGGGTGAGTGTTTTTCCGCGGGCGGGTGCTTGGGGACCATTTTTCTACCGCCCAGGTTTACTTGCTGCACAATTTTATAACATAGCGCAGGATTAGCATGTTTTGCTGCCTTGTCCCATAAATATATGCGCCGTGAGCCGCCTCAGTTTGTCCGAATGACCGCGAATGAGGGCAGGCCGCAATATGAATCCAGCTGCCCTGCGCGCCGCCGCCTTTATTAGTCAAGGCGCTGATCCTCAAGATTTACACCTGGACGGCACATATCCAACCGTAACTCAGAAGCGTGGCGCCGGTGACCGGTGGCCTCCCGCGTGGTGGCCGTATTTCATGCAGCCGAGCTCATCCCGCCGGCAGTGTCGTTCGTCATGCCTCTTTTTATGTCCGTCGTCGGTCTTTGTCTCAGCCCCGAGAAATGCGGGGACGATGAAATAAAGACACAAGAAGGACCGAGTCGGTGGGACGGTTGGGGAATAAGCTAGCATATGTCAAAGTAAAGCTCCCTATCGGGAGACTTTGTCCTCTGTCGCCGCACATTAATATTAACTATAGCGATACGCCGTCCTCACTATCAGTCCTAATGGATAGCCGGAGAGAGACAGACAGCCGGAATGACTCTGCTGAGGTTCAGGGTTCTTGACAGTCTCATTCCCGGCCTGCGCATCACTCAGCCAGATGGGTGGATGGATGCGCCGGCTCAGCCCACAGGATGGATGGCCGCCCTCTCCCAAAGGAGGGAAGGTTGTCCGGAGCGGAGGGAGCGTGGCGGTTGAGATGGAGGGGAAGAAGAGAGGAGACATTAATCTTAACAGAGGGCATGTTCCCCTCTCTCTCTCTCCAGCTCGCTTTCAGACACGTGTGCGCATATTGAAAACGCAATTGCGTTACTGTTACTGTTTTAATCATTGCGACATTTATACCTGCTATGTCGGGGTCGGCAAACTTTTGTGCTCCGGCACCAGGTAATTTGTAGATGACTCAAAGAAAAAAGTAAATCTGAAAAAATTTGTTATGGGGAAAATGAAGCTTCAAATTGGCTTCATGAACCAGTTGTTGTTGTTGGCTTTTTTTGGTTGATGAAATGGCTTGTCAGTGTGCTTTCAGCACAATGTTGAACACAAAGTGCTATCGAGAGGAGTCGAAACATACAACTGGTTCACGAAGCAAATTTGAAGCCTCATTTTTTCAAAAAATATTTTCACTTTCTCTCATGGGTTTAATTTCGTACCATGACAATTATTCTACAGAGTGTATATTTGCGGAAACATTTATTTATTTGAAAAAAAATCCTTGTAATTATTTTTACCCCAATGCCAAACTTGTTTTGGCAGGGTTGCCTCTGCGATGCTAATTTGTCATCAAAGGCTTTCTTGTCATTTTGGGGGATACAGAGACACAGCGAGCGTTCACCAGAAGGGAAAACAAAACATCACTCTCTATCGACTTTGTGTTTGCGCAAACGGTCTTCATTGTTACTGACGGTCTGTCAGGGGAAAGAAGTTTATCTTTTCTGTTGGCAGTAAATATGCGTGATGATCTCAAATGACCCAGCCAAACATATCTCGCAAGCGAATCGCACCACACAAGCGTGAATAAAAAGACGAGGAACTTGACTGATAGCCGGAAATGCTCATCAACAATTTCATTGTTCAAGCAGAGTGACAAGCGAGAAATCTGTCGGTCGTGAATGGTTTTGAAGGCTGGCCATATTATTGGTCAAGATTAGTCTTATTTACAGAGCTTTTGAAGTCGCTATTTAAAATTCACTGCCCTTCAAATTCTTCTTTGTAAGAATATGAGAGTCGTTGTCAGGTTTGTACGCAATGATCTCCCCCAACAGGCACATTAAGTATTTGGGAAGGCTTTTGTGGTTTTTTAAATAAGTTAGCTTGTTCATAGCACAAAACAACCCAGCCGCTGGGGAGCAGTGCCCTCCCCTGGGGGTACACTGTTCCCCGGTGCCGGTCCCAAGCCCGGAGAAATGGGGAGGGTTGCGTCAGGAAGGGCATCCGGCGTAAAACTTTTGCCAAGACGGACATGCGAGTTGATAGGGCGGTTTGCAGGGACGGATGGGAATTAATGACTCGCTGTGGCGACCCCTGAAAAGGGACGTGCCGAAAGGAGAAGAAGAAGAAGAAGTTCATAGCACAAAACGATTCCATTAAATATTCATTTTTTTAAGTAATTATATTTGGGATGTCTCTCAAACAAATATTTCAAATGAATCATAAACACATCTTTTTTTTTGAGGGGGGTGGGGTGAGTTGGTTTCAGTCAAAGCCCTGTAATATAAAATTGTTGCTTTTTTTTTCTTGTGGCATCTTGGTGCTATGGAACTATGTTGAAGTCAGTTGAAGAGCTTCATTTCAACAAAAGTAGTGCTTTGCAGCCATCAGGTGGCGTCTTGGTGCCAAGGAAAGAGTTGAGGAGCTTCATTTTGAGAAATGTCGTGTAATGTCACCTTTGTGGCATCTGCTGGCAATTTTGTACCCCCTCCTTTTTTTGGGGGGTGGGGGGCATCAATTACCCTAGGATTTTACCAACTCATAGCAGCACTCTGTAGTTGTTGTTGCTCCACAACAGTTAAAATTCCCAAAGTAACACCCCTCAAAAGTTTTCTTTTGTTGTCATGAGGGTGCCGCCACTTGCGCTGTTGATCAATCAATCTCAGTCCAGAGGTGATTGTCACGATTTGGGCTTTCAGGACGTTAAATCAATTTGAATTTGGAGAGGCCGCCACCCCCCTTAAGCTGGTCTGTGCACTCTGTCACCGGCGCACACACACAGTTACACACACGCACGCACTTCTGGAGCTAATTCAATAACCACTTTGCGTTGTGTGCGGAGCCTTTGCTGCCATTTTCAGGTCAATAGGCGGGAACGATGATAATCATTAGTCTAATTATTAATTATGAATGACTCATTAAGGATTACGTCTCTGTCGCAGGTGTGCGCGTTTGTGCGTGCGTTGGCGTGTTCCCGGCATGCGCCTGGCACAGACAACAACAACAACAACACACTGCGCATTTTAGCCCGACTTCGAGGACTTGTGCGTCGTGCTTTCGTCGTTTGGGCACAGATGAAGCGATCAAGTCGACAGCTTGCCGAGCTGTGATTGTCACTGATTATCCCCCACCCCTACCCCCCGACTACTCAACACAAAAAATAGAAAAAAAAACAATAACCCCGCCATCTGCCGTGGGCAATGCCAGCTCGGCTGACGCCCCGTACCCAGACAACAGTGAAGAGGCCATAGTTTCACACGAGCCCCCCTCTGACTGAGGCCGTTTGTCGCTACATTCAACGATGGCAACATTTCGGTATGTCTGGACACAGAACGTGCACAGGAATTTGGAAAGAAATCGACCCGATTTGGAAAATGTCAAATTCAAGATGGCTGCGGTCATCCGGAAGAACTCATGTGTTCCTTTTTGGGGGCTTCATGTGTCACAATTTTAGACCAATCATCGCCCAACTGAAGATTTACTCTGCAAAAGTTCCGTTGTTCATCAAAATCGTCATCAGGAATCGACACTCATCCTGTGTTTGGTGCAGGAACAATGTTGATTTTGAATCGTGTGTGTGTGTGTGTGTGTGAATGCAGGATGGCCCGAGGTAATCAACGTCAAAGTTCAAATTACTACTCGCTTCGTTTCAGGTCTTAGTGCAACAAAGGGTTCAAGATTTACAGTTACGCCAGTACACACGAGAAGACCCAAGCTCTGTTGACTTTGAATTGTGGACGACCAATACTTGCACAGGAACACGGTTGATCATTCAAAAGACGAAACTAATAGTGTCTTTACCTGCTCCTGTCTCGATCTTCATTTTCGGTCTTCTTCAAGTATGTTGAAATGACCTACCTTGACCATAATTGCAAAGACCCGATTGATTTTGAATCATTTTGTGCACACGAGGTAGGAATTGGGTTCCAAAATGTTTCACTTCAAATTTCTTCGTACAACATCACCCTTGATTATGCATATTTGTGTTGTGAAAAAAAATCACCCGGAATGTGCCTGCTGAAGACTTTTGTTCTAACTCTGAGGAAGAACAGAATACAACAATACTGACAAGCAGATTATCTTTATCCTCTGCGAAGAATGACTTATATTACTGCGGCTTACCGAGGAGTTGTGATCGACTGCCTGTCTGTTTATTTATTGAGAGGATTTCCCTTTGAGATGCAACCTTGGCATTTTTCAGGGTGTCCTTGGCGCCAAGGCGCACTCACCAAAAGGAGCAGTACAACGTCCGTTGAATCGTCGCACAAAAATGTGGCAACAGCTGTTTTATTTCTTCACGGCTCAAATTAAATTTGTATCTCAAGGCACCGATACAATTATTCGATTTTTTTTTTTGGTTTTTTTTGTAAAATCATTTTTAGCAACCCTGCAACATGTCGCCCAGCGAAGCCATCAAGAACTAATGAAAGCGTTGGTGCGGGTCTCTGCTTCAGGTGCTGCAGCACAACCACGCCGTCCATGAGATCTCCTACATCGCCAAGGACATCACCGACCACAGAGCGTTCGGCTACATCTGCGGCAAGGAAGGCAACCATCGCTTTGTGGCCATCAAGACCGCGCAGTCGGTCAGTATTTGGACATTTTCATGCCGTTCAGCAAGGTTCATTTATAATGCACGCGGGGGTCTCGGACCTCTTGACATTTAGACAGGGACCTTTCGCACAGACGCCCGTGTCCTGTTGTGCTGTTTATCCAGCCGCCGTTTACGCCGCCGAGCTTTGCGCTCGATCCCACGCCGATAGTTTGGCCTTCTTCGGACCTCTCGTTGCGGCGCCGGCGTGCTTTGTTTGCATCCAGCCGGCTCCCGCCGTCGCTCTATCGATTCCCCCGTGCCGAGTCGATGGGAGTTTGAGTGTGTGTCACCGGCTCTAATGGCACATCCATCCTCCCCGGGCGCTGCTCTTTGACTCGCGGCGACACAAACAGCGCAGTCACATATGCGCACCTTATTGCCACATAGATCAGAGATCACAAAATTGGTTGTCACCAAAGGCGGCCCCGTCGAAGCGCCATCGGTCAGTCCGAGCTGGCGTTTACCCGACGCGTGCCTGAGTAAACGTGGCCATTGTAAGCTTGCTTTTATTTGAAGGTTGTGACCAGCCGCACGTGTAATTTACCCCCGGAAAAGCTTTCGAAATGACCATTTTCTTCTATTACGTTTTGCGGCGTGACACTTAACTAAGGTAGTTCGTCGTTCAATAGATAAGTTTAGTCTCACTCCAGTCCTCCAGGGCAGATGGAGTATTTCTGTTTGTTGCGTCTGTATTGGCAAAGCGGCCCTGTTTCCTAGTAAGGGTTTGTCCCAAGTGCAAACGCTGGAATTCACCAGCGAAGGCTTCTTCAAACCAAATTGAACGACTTCTTGTTCAGTTCCTGGCATGCATCCTGGAGACTTTTTCATGCGTTCTGGCAGACACGTTCAACCCATTTGTTGTCCATCGGAAAAACTGGTGGAGTGTTGCCAAGCGAGAATTGGCTGCTTCAAACCAAAATGATCGACTTTGTTCCATTGAGACTTTTTGTGTATCTGTTTATGAAAGACGCGCCCCGCCCAATTGCGTGTTCGCTGGTGTGTCACGGGCAACTTTCTAATGACTGTTGATTGTGAGTGTGGCTTGAAACCAAACTAGACGTTTTGGGTTTGGATGCTTGAGTATTTTTTTCATGCATCTTGTTATCATGATCCTGTTTACCCAATTTAGTGTCAATTTGGATCAAACATTTTGGTAAGTCTTACTGAGTGAAACTTGGCTGATTCGAACCAAGATGCCACACTTACTGTTCAAATGTGACACGTTTGACCTGGATTTAAAGTGAATTTCTATTTGGGGCCGACGTAACTTCTGTCGGCAACTTTTACGTGCAGTATAACAACGAAATGCCGCTTCGCCGTGTTCGCTTTGAACTCCGGGTTCCACTACCTGAGAGACGAGGGCCATTTTGGGGCCTCCAAACAAGGCGATTCATTCATCCAAAGAAGACGATGGGTAGTCCTTTGGTGAGCCCTTCCTGGTTCACGGCGCACTGATGATGCCATTTTGAATCTGATTTGAAGCTTCGTGAAAAAAAGGGAGCCAGTGGGACTGCGAGATGGTAACGAGCGGAGATGGTTAGAATCTGTACTTTCAAAGGCGAGGCGAATGTGACAGCTTAACAATATGTCTCGTGTCGGCGGCCCAGCAGGAGCAGACGTTACAGCCCCCCCCCCCCACCCCCCTCGGGCCGGGCCTGTCAAGAGCGAGGCGAGGCGGAGAAACTGTCTCATGGAACGGCGGCGCTAAAATAGAGCTGCGCTTTATGCGTGGCAGCGTTCCGTCTATGAACTCCAAGTGCACTACGCAAAAAGCTGGCGGTCAATAATTGATTACGGCTGAAACTCTTGTCATACTCAAAGGCTTCTTCCGCTTGTTTAGTTGACAGTTCGATGTACTGTAAGTGTCGAAACTCACTCGGAGCAGTGGTGAGAAGTTAAGTTGATTTTTTTTTTTTTTTTTTTTCTGGTCTTCGTACTTTTACTCCCAACATTTGAAAACATATCTGCACTTCCTGCTAAGCTTGTTACAGTTCACAACTTAAAGCATGAAGACGCAACGTTCAAAAGACGTTAAAAAAAAAACTTGACCTGACGATCGCTTGGTCAGAGGCCACGCCTCTTAAAGAGCACACATCCAACCCAAAAATACAACAGTGCAAATCATGATTACACTGATACCAGTTTGTTTCTTGACATGATTGTAGGTCAAAGGTTGATTTATTTTTTTCCGTTATTTGATAATTTGGCATTTTTGGTGAATCGTTTCCCAATTTAAACAAAGCCATGGAAACACATTTTAATGGCGTGTTCAGTCTTTTTTTTTTTTTTTAATTTCTTGGTTACAAGCACCATAAAAATGAATAAACGAGGGAACGTGTGGAGAAGTGTGCCAAGTTGTCAAAACGAGTACTGTATATAACCGGCCATTTTTACTTTTCTTAGTACATTTCAGAGTACTTTTTCACTTAAATAAAAGAGTTGAATTAGTATCGCAGTCTTTTTTTTTCGCCACTTCTAGTGAAAGTGGATGCAAGCGAAGCTGGCTGCCAGGAAAGCAGCCGCAAGTCAGTCAGGCGGCGTCTGCCCGCCGCCATAAGTGTCGGCGAGGCGGCGGGACGGGGGGAAGAAAGTGATGGAGCCGGTTTGCGCCGCCAGCGTGTCTTTGTTTGTCGGCGTGCCGCTCGCTGGCAGGATTGCTTTGTGGGGAATAATTCAGTCTGACAGACGGTGGCTTTGTCTGACAGGGAGAAAGCAGAAGGAGAGCAAAGTCACAATCAGACGCACGAACTAAAGTTGTTGCCTCTAACAAGTTGCTCAATTTGCGGATTGCGACGCCGCAGTCTGAGTGTGTGTGTGCGCGCATTTACGTGTATGTGAATGCGTCTGCATTCCAGTATGTGTGCGTCTGTGTGTACGGTTCATTTGTGATTAACTTCTTGCTTCTCCCCCCAACAGGCTGAACCAGTGATCCTGGACCTGCGGGACTTGTTCCAGCTCATCTATGAGATCAAGCAGCGTGAGGAGATGGAGAAGAAGGCCCAGAAGGACAAACAGTGTGAGCAGGCCGTCTACCAGGTACATCCGCCAGTGCTTGCATTTGCCTGGTCGACAGCCGTTTTCGCAGAGCCACTGACTCCCTTATTGTGACATGAAACGGTCAGCCTCCCCCCCCCCGTTATTTAACCATCAGTTGAGATGTTAAAAACGTGTCAAATTTTTTTGCACCCCACTTCAGCCTCAAAACTAAATGAAAGCAGAAAGGATCATTGAAGTTCTCACCCGTGGCTTCCGCCTTTCTTTCTTTCTTTCTTTCTTTCGATTGATTTGTTTTGGCTCGTGCTTTCCGCCAACTGGCCCTGCTCCTCTGCCTTTAACCCTCGATGCCTCTTTCACTTCTTCTCGGCTCCGCTCGTCCGCAGACGATACTGGAGGAAGATCTGGAGGACCCGGTCTACCAGGTAACCTCGCCAGCCTTGCTTCACTCCACCCGCTTCGCCACCCTTTGGCTTGCTCCTTTCCGTGTGTGTGTGAGTGTGTGCACTGTGTGGGGAGACAGCCCCTCGCTCGCTACTTATGGAACCATAGCTGGGTTCAAATATCCACACAAAGTGCATGTTTGTGGGGTGCATGGTCAGCTGATTTTCCCCAAAAATGCTTTTTGACTTTTCTCTCGACTTCTTCCACTTCCTTCCTTTTTTTTCTACCCCCTCCCCTCCCTTGTCTCTTTCCTGTGCTTCCGGCGCTGTAGTACATTGTGTTTGAGGCCGGACACGAGCCCATCCGTGACCAATCAGACGAGAGCATTTATCAGGTATACTCGCAAGAAGAAAAAAGTCAACTCATCATCATCATCTCGTGGGGAAGTCAGACAGAGAGAATACAGTGAAGACATTTGTCGTGGGAGACATGTTCCAGACACGCTCTCAACATGTCAAAAAAAAAAAAAAATCACAAAATATTGAGCGCTCTTGGAAAGAAAAATAAATTAAAATTTTTTATAAGACACATTTAAACTCATGAAAACATTCTTTTCAAAATAAAGTGGAAAAATATTTGAACACGGGCAGAAAACGTGCAAGCATAAATATACAGCATAGACTGTACATTATTGAAAAATGCTGTGAGGACCCCAAGATGTCAGTCATGCCAAAGGCCCACGGCACACTGAGAGCGATGTGGCTAAACATGACTGAAGTGGACCATCGTGAAACAAAAAACATGGCGTGATTGTCACGGAACAAGCAAATTGGCACAAAAAGAGCAGTAAGGCAAGTGGGGAGTGAAGATATCTTGACAGGCTGTTGGCAGTGATCGAGCACCCCATTCACTCACTGCGTCTGTACCTTTTGGCGAGAGACTCTCCACGCTTTGCTTTTTACTGCTGCATACCGCTGGTGTCGGGCCAAAACTTCTTATTTAGTTTGTAGATGACTTTTTTTGTGTTTTTTGTCTCCTGAAAAGTGATGATTTTGGACGTACGAGGATTCCACCTGACCACAGCGATATGAAATCTTGAATATGGTTAAGTGTTATTGTAAAACATACACACACATTAGGGCTGAAACGGGTCCTGGAGTAATTCGAATACCTCAGTTCAATAAAATGCTCGAGACATTTTTGTCTGCCTCAAGTACCTCCTTATTTACATGTACACCGTCAGGAAGAAGCAATCAAACTATCAGTGGCAACAATTGTTCACGCTATACAAATACGTGACAGTACCAGTCAGTCAATATGGTAGGAAGGCCAACTTCAAAATAAACCTTACCTTACCCAACAATTTATGGACATCAATGCATTGGTACACTTTTATTTTGAAGGTGTTCCCGTGTCGCAGTGTTGAGATTTCAATGTGATATAGTGGGGCCGTGGAAGGTGAACGCCGGGGAACACGGTTAGAAAAAAAAAAAAAAAAATGGCGCAGTCTACTTCCCCCACCCCCCCGGTGAGGCGTGGGTAGACCTCGGAGGGGCGGGAAAAGGTGGAGGGGAGGAAGCGGATGCGGAGGTTATTCCTGGCCGTTGCGGAAGGCAGGACCCGCCCCCCCCTCTCCCCCATCCACCGCCCGACAACCCCCCCCATCTTCTTTTCCCGGGGAGATGAAAGCAAAGAAAAAGGAAGTAAACAAGGGGCCGAGTGTGCTACATGCATAGCTTTAGCTCACGCATCCACACAGGGAATGCTAACATAGCTGCGATTCCATCCTAAAATAGTTTGAAAGCCAAATTGCGTCGATTTGCACACACTTGTGTTCATTACAAGTGTGAGGTGGGGGTGGGGGGTTGTTTTAGTAGTAGTAATTATTAACGTTATTAATTTTAGCCTGAAATGCCAACAAAACACTACCAATAGTTCATTTTGGTTGATAAAACCACTTTCGTCCATAAAGAGCTCAAGTAGCTACACGACAAACGGCTAACAAAATTAGCATTCCTTTTATTGTTTATTTCCAGTCGATGCCTTCCGCCACGAATTAGCCTTTCTCTGTTCCGAGTTTTACCTTAAATCCATCAAAAGGTCCCCGCGGTCGCAAACGAGACGATCTCAGTTAGCCATCGGCGCTTATTGTCGCTGCTCGTCGCACACGCGCGCTGTCAGATCTTTCCGTTTTTTTGTCGCACAGAATGTTATTATGCCGCCGTGTGTGTGACACTGAGTTATTACACGTCCGCGGCGGTGAAAAGCTTCGTTTTAATCATCCCGCGCCACGAGGCAGCAAAAAGTGTTCCCTCGCACGTTGAGGCGTGACTCACGAGGTCTCACATTGTAGATTTTAATTCTGATTAGCATCCTCGCTCGAAGTGTGATTTCTCAATATTCAGCTCAATTCCTTTGATTGATGAGGCGGGGAAAATTGCGATCGTTTAACAGTTGTTTTCATCGTATTTATTTATTGTTTCGTACCTGTCAAAAATACGACAATATATGACACACAGGTTCCCAGAAATGCTACGCTAACAATTTCCTCCAAGAAAATTTGTGAAGCTAGAGATAGAGAGGCCTGATATTCCAACATAAATGTGTTCAATCCAACTGTAACAAGGAAGTGAAAATGCGATGTTTTCTGCTCAACTTCCTTCTATTGCCATCAGCAAAGTAGTTAGTTCGGAATCAGTCGTTCCTTCTGCTGGACTTTTTTTTGTTTCTTACATGTCAAAACATCATACTTCTTGTTTCGTATGGCCTGTATAGGCAGAAAAATGACATGGGTCTGAAATATCGACAGCCTCTTTCGGCATCTCTTACATGTCATTAAAACCACTACAAAAAGCAGATTTCCTGTTTGAGTTCTACTGCCCGTTTAGACAGCAAACTAGTTGAGTCGGAATGATTTGAAGCCTAGCGAACTTCGTCGACTTGACTCCTTTCTAATGTCTTTCTTTGGTGTCTACTACGCGTCGTTAAAACCAGTAGACAACGCCGCACTTTCTATTTGACTGCTTTTACTTCCCGTTTAGCTAGCAAACTAGTTGGGTCTGAGTCCTGTTTACCCCGTGCCGAGGGTACCTCCCACGAGTCAAAAGCAAACATCATGCTAGCTGTTCAATATCTTCCTATCTACTCGTTGCTTCTACGTACCAAAATCCGGTTATGCCGCAACAGGAAAGAATCAAACCGTCAACTTGATGCAAAATAACCGAGGACACGTTATAAGCGCTTTGCTGATCTCGAGGTAACAGGCTCTGTTGGCTGTGCTCTGGATTTTGCGGCCGGCTGTGTAGGTTCCCACCAGCCAGCAGAAGGAAGGGGTCTATGACGTCCCAAAGCAAGGGTACCTCCCACGAGTCAAAAGCAAACATCATGGCTAGCTGTTCAATATCTTCCGATCTACTCGTTGTTTCTACGTACCAAAATCCGGTTATGCCGCAACAGTAAAGAATCAAACCGTCAACTTGATGCAAAACAACCGAGGACACGTTATAAGCGCTTTGCTGATCTCGAGGTAACAGGCTCTGTTGGCTGTGCTCTGGATTTTGCGGCCGGCTGTGTAGGTTCCCACCAGCCAGCAGAAGGAAGGGGTCTATGACGTCCCCAAACG